TATATATATATATATATGTTTGTCAAAACATAGTTCCAACATGAAATATTTAAAAATGATGATTATGCATTATTGCTCTGGATGGTTTCTTTTCTTTTTTTTTTGGAGAGGTTTTCGCTATAGGGAGTGTGTGTTCGCCAGGCAGACAGAGAGAGACATAGAGACAGAAAGCGAGAAATCACCCCCCAGAGGGGATGGTCATGCCGCAATCCCTTCTCCTCCATTCTCTCCTCTTGGGATCTTGGGCACGCACGCACACGTGCCTGGCGTGAGTTTTAAGCCACCGGGTCCGGGACGCGAACCGCGGTCGACTACGTGGGAGTCCAGCGACACAGCCATTACACTAACTGCTGGTTCCCTCTGGATGGTTTCTAATCATGCTCTACCATCTCCACACACAGTGCTAGATTATGGTTCTGGAAGTTTAGATGACGTCACATTATTACAATGAGAGAATTAGTGAGACTTGGGGCTATTTTGAAATTTGGAACATCAGCACATTCTTTTGTGTTTTTGACATTGTTTACAGTTCAAAAATGAAATTTGACTACAGAGGTTAGGGAATTCCACTTGATGACTGTTAGTAATAAAGCTGATAAAACTAGTTCAGAGGACCTTGTGTTTATGAATATTGGATCCAAGAAGAGACTCTGGCAAACTGCTGTAATAAAACAGAGATAACGTTGGCTGAGTGAGGAAAATGTTTGCATGAACTGTCAAGAGAAGAACCTTAGGTTGTTAGGCCAGAAGGGAAGTAGGAGGTCAAGTAAACCTCAGAGGGAGTGTCTAGAATCCAGAAACTTAGAGACAGATTTCCTCCTAGATTTTTTTTTGTTTTTAATTTTAAACTTCCTGTGGGGCTAAGATGTAGTGTCAGGACCATCAAAATGGTTTGTTTGTTTATTTATTTATTTTCTAGGAAGTGAGGAGTTTTGCTGTGATTATTTTCAGTCTGGGACATTTGAAAAGAAACACAGTACTGTGTATTCACCATAAAATGTCTCTTCCTTTCATCCCAAACAAGTATGACAGTTTACTTGGTGATTCCCTCTACTCCTCAATCTAAAAAAAACTATTTGAAGAATTAAAAAAAAAATAAATGAATAGTTCATGAAAGAAAATTTGAGAAAAGCCTATAGTAAGAAGAGGAATCATATCAATTATATTTATATCAAAACAGTTGCTAACATTTAGGTTTCGGGATTATGGTTTCTTTTTCTGAGAAGCTGTGGAAAATATATTCATTCTTTTCCCCATTAAACATCATCACATAGGGATTATTTTGCCGTTGTTGACATGATTGCTCTAAAGTTCACAAAGATACTATAGCATAGTAGTTTAAAGAAGAGGCTCTGTTACCAAAGTGCCTGGATTCAAATCACCACCACTTAAGAGCTGTATGATCTTGGGGGACCAGCAGTTAGCATAATGGCTATGTCGCTGGACTCTCACGTAGTCAACCGCGGTTCGAGTCCTGGACCCGGTGGCTTAAAACTCATGCCGGGCGCATGTGCGTGCGTGCCCAAGATCCTGAGAGGAGAATGGAGGAGAAGGGATTGCAGCATGGCCATACCCCCCAGGGATGATTTCCTGCTTTCTGTCTCTCTGTCTGTCTCTGTCTGTCTGGCGAGCACACGCGCCCTATAGCAAAAAATCTCTCCAAAAAAAAAAAAAAAAAAGAGCTGTATAATCTTGAGTCACTTCATTTTTACCTGCTTCACTTTTTTAAAAAAATTTTTATTTATTCATTCATTTATTTTAATTTGACCAGAGAGAGAGACACACAGAGAGGGAGAGAGAGAGAGAGAGCAAGAAACTAAGCCACCAGATCCGGGACTTGAACCATGGTCGGCCATGTGGGAGTGTCCAGCGTCTTAACCACCATGCCACCTGCTGGTCCCTACCTGCCTCACTTTTATCATCTGTGTATGGGAATGATAATAAAAGCCAACTCACAAGGTAAATACTTATGTAAAGGACTTAATAAATAAAATTTATCATCAAAATGAGGATTTTATTAACATCAATATATGTATATAGTAAAAACTTTTATATAGTACAGAATGCAAAAGAAATCAAAATCATTTATTATTTTAAACCCCAGAGAAACCCACTCACCTCTTGTAAAGATTTTGGCTATTATAGTTGTTTTGTATATGGTGGGTTTTCTATTCCACGGTTGAGATAATAATCGCATTTCCAATTTGTATCCTGACTATAATGAGCATTTTATATATTTTCTGTAAACATAATTTAAAAAGAGCACATGAATGGTGTTGTACAGCTAATGTTTTATTAATACTTACCTTTTCCTCAATATTTTGACTTTCAGACTGTTCTCTCCCACCCCCACATATTCAATTGAAATAATCATAGATTAACTTTGGTTAAAACAGTCAGGGACTTGAACCTTCCCTGACTGGTGTTGGAGCCTGCACAGTTATTTTTCTTTCCTGAGAATATAATCAGTCCTACACCACACACCAGGAAGAGAAGGTATGAATAAGCATTCAAGAAATATCTTTGTAAACTTTTTTTCTTCACATTAGAAATGATTTCTTTAGATTAGATTTCTAGAGATAGAAACACAAGGTCAAAAGATGATAAATGTGGGACCAGCAGTTAGTGTAATGGCTGTGTCGCTGAACTCCCATGTAACCGACCACGGTTCAAGTCTTGGACCCGGTGGCTTAAACTCACGCCGGGCGTGTGTGTGTGCATGCCCAAGATCCTGAGAGGAGAATGGAGGAGAAGGGATTGCAGCGTGGCCATCCCCTTGGGGGGTGATTTCTTGCTTTCTATCTCTCTGTCTTTCTCTGTCTTTCTGGCGAGCGCACGTGCCCTATAGCAAAAACCTCTCCCCCCCACCCCCCTCCCCCCAAAAAAAGATGGTAAATGTTATTTTCTAGAAGGATTATATTTTTCTAAATTAAGTGTTTTTCATTTTTAATTGACAAATAATTGTATATATTTTTTGGAGTAGAGTGTGATATTTTGATTCATGTGTATATTGAGGAATGATCTAATCAGGCTAACTAGTCTATTCATCATCTTAACTATCATTTATTTGTGGTAAGAATATTTAAAACCCTCTCTGTTAGCTATTTTGAGACACATGTTGTTATTAACTATAGTCACTGTGCTGTGCAGTAGAACACCAGAAGTTATTCCTCCTGTCTAACTGAAACTGTGTACTTGCTGACCGATATTGCCCCATTCCCGCCCACTCTTCCCACTCAGCCTCTGTAAGCACTCTTTCTACTGCTATAAATTCTTCTTTTTAAATCCTGTATGCTAGTGAGATCATATGGCATTTGTCTCTCTGTGCCTGGCTTATTTCACTTAACATGGTGTCCTCTAGGTTCATCCATTGTGTTGCAAATTACAGAATCTCCTGCCATTAAAGTAAATGTCTGAATAATGTTCTATTTTGCATATATATCACATTAAAAAAATCAATTTTTTTTTCAAATTGCCAGAGGGCACAAGCACCCTCCAGAGAGAGACAGCGAGAAGGAGGGAGAGGGAGAAAGCACTCCCAATGGGTCATGGTCATACTGCAACCACTTCTCTGTTCCTCCTTCCTGTTGGGATTTGGGTCACATATCCACATTTGCCCAAGCTGCTAGGTCAGGAATTGAGCTTTGGTCAGCCATGTGGGATCCAGCTCCCTTAACCAAGAGGCTGGCCCCCCAAATCCATTCATTTGTTGATGGACACTTAGGTTGATTCCTTATCTTGGCCACTGTCCATACAGCTGTAATGAATGTGGGAGGCCACACATCCCTTCATGCTGATTTCAGTTCCTCTGGGTATATACCCAGTACTGAGATTGCTGGATCATACGGTAATCTTATTTTTAGTTTTTAAAGGAACTGTCATACTATTTTCCCAAATGGCTCACTGAAGCACAATCCCACCAACGGGGTATAAGGATTCCTTTTTCTCCATATCCTTGCCAACACTTGTTGTCTTTCACCCTTTTGCTAATAGCCAATCTAAGGTATGAGGTGATAATGTTGTTTCAATTTGTTATTTCTCTAATGATTAGAGAGGTTGGGCATTTTTTCATGTATCTGTTAGTACCATTTGTATGTCTTCTTTTGAGAAATGTCTATTCATGTCTTTGCCCACTTTTAAAATGAGATATTTGTTTTCTTTTTATTGAGCAGTTAAAATTCCTTGTTTATTTGGATTAACCACTTATCTGATATATAATTTGCATGTCTTCTTCCAATCTGTGGGTTATTTCTTTACTAATCATTTCCTTTGCTATGCAGAAGGCTTTTAGTTTAATGCAATTCCATTTGTTTACTTTTGCTTTCATTTAAAAAATTATATTTTAGGTTTTTGCCACAGGGCACATGTACTCACCTGAGAGAGACAGAGACAGAAAGAGAGAAATCATCACCCAAGAGGGATGGCCATGCTGCAATCTTTTCTCTTCTCAGGATTTGGGCAGGTATGCACATATATTCAGTGTGAGTTTCAAGCCACCTGGTCTGGGATTCAAACCACAGTCGGTCATATGGGAGTCTAGTGCCTTAACCACCATGCCACCTTCTGGTTACTTTTGCTTTTACTATTTGTGCCTTTTTTTTTTTTTTTGAGTGGTTTTTGCTATAGGGGGTGTGCACTTGCCAAGAAGACAGAGAGAGACAGAAAGCAAGAAATCACTCCATGCGGGGGATGGCCATGCTGCAAACCCCTCTCCATTCTCCTCTCGGGATTTTGGGCACCAACACACATATGCTTGGCATGAGTTTAAGCCACCGAGTCTGGAACTTGAACCATGGTCAACTACATGGGAGTCCAGCAACATAGCCATTATGCCAACTGCTGGTCTTGACTACCTGTGCTTTGTGGAGTCAAATCCAAGATCAATGCCTTGGAGATTTTCCATTATGTTTTTCTCTGGCAGTTTTGTAGCACCTTAACCACCGTGCCAACTACTGGCCCTGCTTTTGCTTTTATTGCCTGTGTTTATTTGGAGTCATCCAAGAAATCTCTGCTCCATGCCATGGGTATTTTCCATTATGTTGTTCTCTGGTAGTTTTGTAGTTTCTGCTCTTTAAAAAAATTATTATTCTTTTTTATTTTAGTTTTGCCATAGGGTGTATGCACTTGCCAGATAGAGTCAGAGAGAGATAGTCAGAGGGAAAGGGAGAAATCACCCCCCACCCCCACCAGGGGGGATGGACATACCACAATCCTTTATCCTCCATTCTCCTCCTGGGACTTTGGACTGTTGCAAGCTCTGTCAGAACTCGTATGCTATTTTCTCTTTTAATTGCCAGAGGATGTGTGTGCACAAGTGCCCGGAGTGATTTTCAAGCCACTGGATCTGGGACTCTAATTGCAGTTGGGCCATGTGTGAGTCCAGTGCCTTAACCACCATGTCACCTGCTGGCCCCTACTTTTGCTTTTATTATCTGTGCATTTTGGAGTCATATCCAAGATCAATGCCCTGGAGACTTTCCATTATGTTTTTCTCTGGTCATTTTGTAGTTTCTGGACTTATGTTTAAATTTTTAATCCATTTTGTGTTGCATCCTGTGTAAGGGGTGAGATAGGGTCTGTTTTCACTGTAGAAGGGTTTTATTGGTATTAGACTTGCCATGACAATGTATGAGCCTGTTCCACTTATTGTGGGCCTTCAAGTCCTCTCCCTTTGGTTCTGAGTCACTTCTTGGATCCTAAATATTGAAGAAGTTGCTGGGGGTGCCAAAACTCTGGAATATTATTAGTTATGATACTTAATTAATTGTAAATGGCTCTTCCTTTCCATTCCTATAATATTTTCTTCCCAGGGACCCTTTTCCTTTCATACCCTTTCCCTCTCAACATTCTCTAATCTTTCCTGTAGCTTTGTTCTTCCCCTGTTATGGGGGAAGGTGATAGATTCTGTTGTTCCCATTAAGAAGTTAGTGACCTCGACTGGCAAGTGGCGTGGTGGTTAAGGGCACTAGACTCCCACATGGCTGACCACGGTTTGGGTCCCGGACTTGGCAGCTTGCTTTCTCACTTTCCCTCTCTCTCTCTCACACACACTCTTGCTCTGTCCCCCCTCTCTAGTCAAATTAAAATAAATAAATAAATAAAGTTAAATAATTCTTAAAAAAAAAGAAGTTAGTGACCTCAGTGATAGAAGTGTTATTTTCCAGCTGCGTATTTGCATTTTATTAAAGGGTTCCTGGAGCAAGGTTGAGCCCAAAGGAAAACAGGATGGTGGGATTTGGGTCACCGTAATACCCAGAGGGGGAGCTCTTGAGTCTGGATCCACAAGTAGATGGTGTATTTGCTGTCAGGCAGTTCTATGCATGGGGTGAAGCAAAGGTCAGTTTCTGAGAAGCCTTGATTTTCCATCTTTCAAAGCACTAACTGCTCAGAGTAGAAATAAGTTTTCCTAAAGGTAAAGTGTGTCTCTCAGAGGAACTAGTCAGGAGCAATGGTTTACTGAATTGGGGATCATAAGAGACTGGTCAGCATATGCAGATTCTTTACATAAACTCTAAGTTTATGATACCAGGCAGGGCACCTTTTATGGCTTTTTTTAATCATCTGATCGAGATTGCTAAAGGTGTGGAGCCCTTTGCTTGCCTGCCTGTAGTCAGTGATTTCATTAAATTCAACATCGTAGGTAAGCAGAGCCAGGAGGCCTCTGAGTGGGGGCCGAGGCCCTGATTGTGTTGTCAGAGCTCTGAGCAGTGGAAGGTGGGTTTTGTGCTGGGCTATTTCTGTTTCAGCAAAGTCTTGGATACCCTTTAGGGCAAAGAATGTTGCAAGCTCTGTCAGAACTCATATGCTATTTTCTCTTTTAATTGCCAGAGGATGTGTGTGCTTGCCAGAGGGACAAGGGGGGTGGGTGAGAGAGATAAGTATCCCCCAATGGGACGTGGTCATGCAGCAATCCCTTCTCCATTTCTCCACCTTGTCAGGATTTGGGGCATGTACACACAAGCACCTGATGTGTCTTTTCAGCTGCAGTCAGCCATATGGGCTCTGACTCCCTTAATCACCAGGTCACTAGGTGGCCCATGCATTTGTTGAATGGACTGAAAAGCTGAAGAGTTGAGTAGTGTGCTGGAGAGGTGAATGGGTTACAGCTGGGTTCAGCCAAATTGGACAGGGATGTGTGCAGAGAAGTTACGAGGTAGGGTTGGGGATACCTGGTACAAACGAAGTCCTTGATGGCCTGAAAGTGGGGGGAAGGGGAGAAATGGAGAGCTTAGTCAGTTGTTAGCTATCAGTAGAATGCTCTTGAGACCTTAGGAACACAGCCGGAGGGGAAAGTGGTCTTGAGAAGAGGTGGTCTTCAGAAGAAGCAGATGTCAACTTTTCTTTCCTCCCTGAAAGTAAACGCTTTGGTCCCATAGTGGCCTCCTCCTTGGTGCTCAGAGCTTCATCTATTTCTTTTCAGCCTGATCCAGCCTGAAGATGGCTCCCCTGGTCACCGTGGTGTCCGGACCCCGCACCCGAATCTTTGCCTGTTTCCTCAGGCTGGGTTCTCAGCAGGTCAGCCCTCTTCAACTGCACACAAGTTTCAGCCATGCAGCCAAGACCCATTATGAGGTGCTGGTGCTGGGTGGAGGCAGTGGTGGGATCACCATGGCCGCCCGCATGAAGAGAAAAGTGGGTGCAGAGAACGTGGCCATTGTTGAGCCCAGTGAGGTAAGTCTCTGCTTCTGGGTACTGGTGCAGGTGCCGGAGTGTCTGTCTGTGTGCATGTGAGTGTGTGTGTGTGTGTGTGTGTGTGGGTGGGCAGAGTGGTCAGGCAATGGGCTTTCATGTCTCCAGGTTATGCTTCTCCTGGACTTACGGAGCAGGAGGGGGTGGGAGGAGAGAAGTTGGACAGAGAGAAAAGGGAGCTGCTTTCTTTTTTAAAGATTTTTTTAAAAGTTAATTTTATTCATGATAGAGAGCTTATATGCATGAGAGACAGAGCGAGTGAGTGAGCAAGAGAGAATGAACCCTCCATTGGGTCTCATCATGCTGTAAGCTCCCTTCTCTGGCCCTCTAGCTCACTGGGATCTCTGGCACTAGCGCCTGGTGTATTTTCAAGCTGATCCAAACCCACCAGTCAGCCTGCAGCTTTCAGCACTGCTGCTCAGTGTGCTGCCGACTGCATCTCCAGCCTGGGCCTCTCTGTGTGTGTGTGTGTGTGTTCTCCCCTATATTAGTTTCTTAGGAATGCCATCCTAAGAATCAGATTACTATATACTGGATGACTTAAAACAAAGACATGTATTCTCCCACAGTTGTGGTGGCTAGAAGTCTGAAACAACCTACCATGGAGTGTATGTCCTCTGTGCTTCCCTGGGGAGGTGGACCGAGAACCTGGCCCATGCCTCTCTCCTAGCTGCTGGCGGTCACCTGCAATCCTTACCACTCCTCAGCTAGCACTGAGTCATTCTACTCCTCCGCCTCCATCTCTAGTGGTGTTTTATCTGTCCATCTCTATGTCTCTGTGCCTCTGAATGGCCTTCTGTAGAAGACGTTTCTAAGGACACCCGTTATTGGATTTAAGCACACCCTGAAGTATTAAAGTATGACCTCATCTTAACTTGATTGTATCTGTTTCCAAATAAGGTCACAGTCATAGTTACTGGGGTTAGGACTTCAACATACTGTTTTGGGAGACACAGTTCAACCCACATTACCCTCCTGCCCCCAGTCTCCTGTTCAGAGAAATATCAATGGCCATCATACTTTTCCTACTATGTCTGTGCCAGTCTAGAGAAGGGACGGTGAGTTGGAGCAGGGGGGCCTTTGGAAACCTGTTGAGGAATGGAAACAGATTATAAGGGAGAAAATGTAGCTGACTAGAAGGAAAGACTAAGGTACCGTCTCATGAAAAATAGTTTAAGATGCTACAAAAGCTTCTGAAAAGGAGTTAAGATTTTTGGCGGTTTGCCCAACTAGGTGGGCACCAGTTGGGAGCTGTATCCTCAGAAGGAAAAAACAGAATGGATCCAGTGCCTGTTTGGGTGGGGAGCATAGAACAAGAAAGGCATACTCCTTTTCAGGATGTCTCTCCAATAGGAATGAGGATACCCAGAGCCATTTTCTTAGGTGAGGTTAGGGGGCGCTCTTTCTCATTTTTCCTTTTTAAAGTAGCTTTTCTTTGATTCAGGGATCAAACCACTTTAAATGACAGTGGTCTGATTGGATCAGGTGGCTGTCTATTGTGGCTAACCTATAGACAGGGCTCCCATAAGCTTCTTTTTGTGATGAGATCACCTCTTCTGTGGACTGAACACGATTCAGGAGGCCAGAATCATGTCTGTCCTGCCCCACCAGTCCCACTAGGACTGCAGTCTCTCAAAGGAGCTGCCAGTGGCAAAGGCTTTTGGCACTTTCCCTGCTGTATATAGCTTAGTGATTGCTGGAGCTTATGTTTATCATCTTAAAAAAACAAAAGCAAAACTGGAGCTTGTATTTTTGTTCCTCTTCTTGTTTAAGATGGACTTGAAATTGATGAGCTCTTACAAGTGGAGATGTCTGGTCTCCTCCTCTTTGATCACATTCATTATTGGCTGAAGGGAGATTGCAATGCCATTTTTTGTGTTCTTACCTCTCTGCGGGTTTTGAAGGTTCTGGCCAGCCAGTTCCAGGCATATTGACAATGTTGAGAGTTTGTGGGTCCCTAGTTCACCTACAAATGAACTGGACTTCTCAGTGGTGATTAAAACAATCTTCCTTTTGGTCTAGAACTTTCACAACTACCTTGGGTCAACAGTGGACCATTTGAAGCAAAGGAACTCCAGAAAAGAGTGAAAGTTCAGATGTGTGTGGCACTGAGAATGTCTGGCCCTACTTGCTTTGGGCATAAAACCTCTGAGAAAGGAGAAGGGGACTCATCAGTATCTGCAGTGCTCCGTGGGCTTGGAGAACATACTTGGGAGTGAATGAAGTTTCAAAGCTCCCCAGAAGTGACTGTAAACTTTTCTGACTTAATCGTGGTGTCCATATATTTATAAAGAACCATATTTAGGCTGCCAGGCTTATTTTCTCTTTGGATCTGTGCACAAAATGTATCCATAATATATATGTATGTATGCATATATGTATATACACACACATATATAACATATGTATATATAACATATATATATATATATATCATGTACATATTAAACCCCAAATCAACTTTCAGCAATAAATAATGCAATGGTTCATGAGAGAGTTTGTTTTTTGCCGATGATCTTGGAAGAATTCTAGTGTTGGGTCACTGTCCTTAGGCTTAACACCCTAGGAGACGCCGATGGAAAGAGCTAACCTGGAGACTTTTCTGTGTGATGATTTAAGGGTTGGGAATGGGTAATTGAGAGGGTCCAGCTCATGGACTTTTAGCTGTGACCCTTTTGAGGAGCCTCAAATTGAAACAGATCTCCAAATACTTTGTTTCTCAGAGACATTTCTACCAGCCAATTTGGACACTGGTGGGTGCTGGTGCCAAACAGTTGTCCTCGTCGGGTCGTCCTACAGCAAGTGTGATCCCATCTGGGGTAGAATGGATCAAAGCTAGTGTGGTTGAGCTGAACCCAGACCAGAACTGCGTCCGCACTGACAATGGCAAGGAGGTAACCACTGGGACGTTTGGGTTGTTGTTGTTGTTGTTAATCTGAGTGCTTCGGTTAATGCACAGCCATTCTCAAACTGGGTAGCTTCATATGTGTGCATGCATGCTTGTATGTATGTGTACATGTCCAGACCTACACAAGATGGGAAGATATGTGCAATAAACATAAGATGCATGGAAGGACTGAGTGATATTGAATTAACAAATAAACAACCAAGACAAGTATTTGTTAAACATCCACTGTGTACCCTGTTGCATGCAAGTGTTTATTTAACAACTGCTATTGCTACATGTTAAAATAGCAGGCACCTTCCCCCTTGTCTTTTTGAAGCAACCAGCCTTTCTACCTGACACCTGGTCCCCAGAAGAATGGGATGTTGGCAGATATCCATCTCAGCCATGCTAGGGCATACCTGCCTTATGGCATTCATGATCTTTGACTCGCTCGCCTCCATTCATTCATTTCACAAATATTTACTAAGCTTATGCTATAAGCTAGGTGCATTTTTTTTCTTTTGAGAGTTTTTTTGCTATAGGGTGCTTGCACTCGCCAGAAAGACAGAGAGAGACAGAAAGCGAGAAATCATCCCCGGGGGTGGGGGGGATGGCCACGCTGCAATCCTTTCTTCTCCATTCTCCTCTCAGGATCTTGGGCATGCACGCACACGCGCCCGGCATGAGTTTAAGCCACCGGGTCCGGGACTCGACTGCGGTCAGCTATATGGGAGTCCAGTGACATAGCCATTACGCTAACTGCTGGTCCTGTTAGGTGCAGTTTTAAGCATTAGGGATACATGAGTAGATAAGAACAGACAAAAATGCTTACTCTTTTGGATTTTATATTCTAGTGGGGAAGGAAATATTATAACCAGTAGACATGATAAGTACATTATATAGTATGTTAAAATGTGATAAGTATTAATAAAAAAGGCTAGAACTGAGAAATTGGGGTTAGGGAACATAGGGGTGGGGATTGAATTTAAAAAATGGCTTGGTGTTATGCATAGCCTGTGGCCAAGGAGTTCTCTAACAAGTTATCCTTCTTCATATTCTTAGACAGGTGGCTTGTATGAGACTTTATTGAGTTAGAATCTAATTTCTTTTCTTTTATCCTTTTTTTTTTACATAGGGTGCATGCGCTTGCCAGAAAAATGGAGAGAGACAGAGAGACAGAAAGCGAGAAATCGCCCCCCAGGGGGGATGGCCATGCCACAATCCCTTCTCCTCCATTCTCCTTTCAGGATCTTGGGCACACACGTACACGCTCCCGGCGTGAGTTTAAGCCAATGAGATTGACTACATGGGAGTCCAGTGATACAGCCATTACGCCAATTGCTGGTTCCAGGATAGAATTTCTTGTAACTTCTTTCTTGGGTTCTCCCTCCCCAGGGTGTTATTGATCTTAATACCCTTAATACCTTTCTTAAAACATTTCTTGTTCCTTGTTCTGTGACACAGTGTGTGAGAAAAAGTCTTCTCTCTGTAAAGAAGCCTTTCAACTCTTTAAAGATGGCTTTTATATTCTGTGTAACTTTTCTCTTCAGGTAGACTTGACTCCATGTCCTTAGGTCTTCCTCACAGTTCCCGATTTCCAGTACCCACAGTCCCTTGTTTGTTTTAGTTTTTGCTAGTGGGTGTATGCACTTGCCAGAGAGAGGGGGAGGAGAAACCATCACCCCCATGGGAGATGGTCACATTACAATCCCTTTTTTCTCTCTTTTTTCCTCCTTTTTGGATTTTGGGCACACATGCACACACATCTGGTATATTTTTCAAGCCACCAGGTCCAGGACTCGAGCCATGCCCTCAGCCATGTGGGATCTGGGTGCCTTAACCATCAGGCCACAGAGCTGGCCGCCCTCAGTCCCCTTTCCCTGGCTTTAGATATCACCTGGCTTGTTAGTGACCCCACTAACAAGGCACTTGCAAAAAAAGACAATCTGCAGAACAGCCCAGAAGAGAGTAGGACCACTCTCTCCCACAATCAGAAGCAGCCTAAGCTAACATTTGCCCTTTTATTGAAGGTAACTACAGGACTCATTCACGCTGAGCTCGAGGCCAGTTTAATGCTCTGGGTCTTTTTTTCATATGACCAACCATCAAGCCAGGTCTACTCTATCCTAGAAGAGTACAGCATTTATTTATTTTACCTAAAGGCAGGAATAAATATAGATGTGCATATTTTGGGTCATCAGAAAAGTCATGACATATTTCCATGCAGAAATGAATCATGACTTCTCTGACAACATACACTTTTAAATGAAATATTTAAAGTCATTCACCTATTGTGTTTTCTCTGTTGGTGACTCAGAACTGCCTTATTGTCCTCCATGTCTCCAGGAGACCAAACTGAGTTACACACAAGATTGTTCTCAGTTCACAAGACTGAACTTGTGGTTCATGTGCCTTGCCAGTCCGCCGCCAGCTCACAGGGCCAGGAGGCCTCTCTCCTATAACACACATGGTCTTTTAGTACAGCTGTGGCTGCCTCGTTGGTTAGAGCCTTCTATGTTACAGGACTCGCTCAGAGCCTTTTGTGGTTTGGTTTGTGCTCATCTTTAGGATCACAAACTTCTTCCACCTCTTGAGAATGAGAGGCACTAGTCAATGTTTCGACTTTGGAATCCAGCTTACCCTTTCTAAGGTTTAAATGCTGGGGGAAGCTGTAGTCTTATTTTAGAGTTGGAGGAGAAGTTGGTGCAAGCTGGTGGGACTTCCTTCCAAGATTTTATTAAACAAAAATAGTCCATAGCCAGAAATCAGATTTAGCACGTAACATTTCATGTGAGGTATCATCTCATTGGTTTTCGTACATCTCCCAGCCTGACTTTTGGATTTATGTTTCTGCCACCCAGATAGCAATTTTTCTTAGTTGTCATCTACAGATGGCTTTGTTTAAGTTCAAGGTTTTAATTCTGAAATGTGTCTCTAGGGAGCTTTTTTTAGATCGCACAAATTAATCAACATTCTTTAGCAAATATAATTCAATTTACCAAATAATTCTATCCTTAGTTTTTACTTTCCTGTCTTGTTCAAAGGTGACTGCCGAGCATACAGCACTGCTGAAATCCAAGTTCAGTGCGTCTTTGGCTCCTCCCTGACCCTGGGGTCTATCTTCTGGCATACATCCCCCAGGACCAGTGTGCTCTGGCCCTTGAGCCTTCTCCAGATTTAGCCTGTTTAGGTCCCCTGCCCCCCACCCCCCATTCCTGCCACACTGGCCTCTCGTTTCCTCAAATGCCTTAGTTTCCTTTTACCCCAGGACATTTGCACCTGTCATTCCTAACTCTGCCACTTGCAAACACCTGCTCATCTTTGGCTTAGACGTGACCCCTTTGGGTATGCCTTCCCTGACCTTCCAGAGTAGGTCAAGTTCCCCTTTGGTATGTTATCATGGCATTCTCTGAGTTAGTAATTACCGAGTCATGGGAAAAGTCATGACATATTTTTGCATAGAAAAACAGAAAAAAATACATCATGTCTTTTCCAACAACCCAATATTTGTATAATTTCCTGGTAATACCTGTCCTACTCTCTTAGACTGAGGTTTTTTTGAGGGCAGGAACTGTGTCTTTCTTATTCATTATCTTATGCCCAGGGGTGAGAAGACTATCTGGCACATGTAAGGTGCTATGCCAATATTTGTGAGCAAATTGTGTCTCAGTTTCTCCATCTGCAAGATGGGAATGATAATGATATCTACCTTACCAGGCTGTTGCAAGCATTAATTGAATAAAAAACATGTAAAGCACTTAAATAGTGCATTGAACAGCATAAACGCTCAAGAAAAGTTGCTGTTGTTATTTTTAAAAGTATACAGGGAAAAAAGGGAAGGGAAATATTTATTGAGTGCACACTGTGTGCCAGCATAGTTTTTTCCTTTTCTCTTTTTTTTTCCCTAATTGTAAGAAGATATGTGTGCTTGCCAGAGAGAGAGAGAGAGAGAGAGAGAGAGAGAGAGAGAGAGAGAGAAAGCAATCCCCTAATGGGGCATGGTCATACTACAATCCTTTCTCCATTTCTCCATCTTGTCAGGATTTAGGGCACACGCACACACACGCCTGGTGTGTTATTTTAAGCTGCTGGGGCTGGGATTCGAACCATGGCTGGACATGTGGGATCTGGCTTCCTTAACTCCCAGGCTATGGGGCTGACTCTAGCATAGTTCTCGACTGCTGCCTCTAGGTGTATCATTTGTGAACCAGTTTGGTGCTCTTCTTTTTCTCTTATTTTTAAAAATTTATCTATTGCTTTCATGAGTAAGAGAGATAGAGACAGAGACAGAGAGACAACAATGGCTATAGGGTCTTCAGGCCACTATCCTCCCCCAGCTTTAGCCAGTCCTGGATACACATGTGCCCAGTGCACTCAGGGAGGTCCCTGGGTTGCAAACCTGGGAGCTCCCCATGCAGATTAGCCTTGTAGAGCATTTTACTGTTATGCCACCATGTGGCCCCAGTGCTCTTCTTTTTATAGATAACTCTGAGATGAGCCTGAAATTTTGCAAGATATTAACCTATTTACTAAGTCATGGCATCAGAAGGTACCTTCCTCACCTCTGTATAACATGAGAAGACTTGACCATATTTAGCCTTCTGGTGAAGTCTGCATTGTTCTCTGTCAATTGTGCAAACATCTTGATCATAAGTTCTTGCAATTCCTTCAGGTTTAGGTCATCAGGCCTGGAAACTTGAACTCATTCAAAAGGCTTGGCTTTCTTCTTCTCACGCTTTCTGGGGTTTATATCTCTTAATGATTATTGTTTTTCCTAATCCTAATCCTGTCTGTTCCCAGTCCTTGAGAATAATCAGTATTATGCCCTAATATGAAACTATCAAGGCACAAACAAACCAAAAAGTCTTCTGGTTGCCCACGTTCCTATTTCACCTTTAGATCACCCTTAGGCCCTATACCCTTGCACCTCACATACCCTGATGACTCCATAGGGTGCAGTCAGCCATGCAATGGGCCCAGTATGTTTTCCTAAAGAATGAGACATTTTATGGTACTAGCTCTAAAGATGGGCAAAGTATGAAGATGAAGACACTTATGTTATCTACTCCATTGATGAATTGTGCTCTTCACAAGCAACTGAAATCATCCATCCATCCATGAATCCAACAAACATTGTTGAGTTGCTTGCTTTAATTTAGTGGCTGTTGGATTCTAGGAACACAGGAAATAAGACACAGCCTTTCTCCTGTAGGAGTGTTCAGTGTAGTGTGGCACCCACGACTCCTCTATAACATGGCAAGTGCTGTAGAGTGTGGCGCGCACTGTGCTAAGGGAGCTCCGAGGGGTGGATGGAGAGGGTGATGGAGCCATAGGCCTTGCTGTGGGGGTGACCTTGTAGCCGAGTCTTTTGAATTCCAGGGCAGGACCTCTTCAGCAACTTGCTCCCTTTGACTCCCAGCCCCAGCCGAGTGCTCTTAGACTTGGATGTCCTCCCTCTTCAACTGTGATCTGGTTGGTTTGTTGCTCTGCTTCTTCATTTAGTACAAGATCATTGTCACTGCCACTTGTTTCTCCTCTCCAGGCACCTAAACCTCATGGCAGTTGTTCTCCATCTCCAGTTTCCTTTTAAAAGTTTATATATGTATGTATGTTTTGCCAGAGGGTACACATATTCACCATAGAGAGGGAGAGGCAGAGGGAGAAAACATTCCCAGGGGGCATGTTCACACCACAATACCTTCTACTCCATTTGTCTGTCCTCTTGTGAGTTTGGGCATGCACACATGTAAGCTTGGCATGTTTTTCTAATCACCAGGACCAGGATTCAAACCAAGGTCAGCCATGTGGGATCTGGTTCCCTTACCTACCAGACCATGGGACCAACCAATCTAGCTCTAGATTTCTAGGCAAGTTCTTGTGTTGTGCAACCTTCTTTCTTAGATTTTCTGGTCTCAACTTGTCTTATTCTGGATCCTAAATCTATGTTTTTATCATGATATTTATGAATATTTGTGTCTTCAGCATAAATAATCAAAATGCCTATATTTGAAGAGGGAATATTTTTATCCCATGCAGACCATTAAATGAGATTAGGACACTATTACATCCTGTTCAGTAACCCTATTCAACGATAGTTTCCCAGTTATGATTTAGGTCCAATCTATATGATAGGTCAGACTTTCTTGGAATCCACACATTACTTTCTAGATTTTAAAGAGCATTGATTTATTATTTAATATTAGGAAGTCTTTCTCCTACTTGTCAGTATGAAAAAGTGTTCATGCAAGCACTGTGCAAATGGCGGTGGCCTCTTTGTTATCATTTTACATTGTGTAAAAATACTGGTGTCTCAAGTGCTGAGCCATCAGGCAGGTTACACACTATTAAGAAACAGTGAGGTGTGAGGCAATAGAGAATGGTGTGCACAGTGGTGATCTGGAGTGTGCATCCCTCCTACTTGTCCTGCCCACCAGCTTCCACCCCAAGTCATTCACATTAAAAAATGGTTATATGGGCGTCAGCCAGTGGTGCGATGTTTAAGGTGGCTGGATCCTACATGGTCAGCTGCTTGGTTTGAGTCCAGAATCTGGTGGTTTAGAAAACACTCTGGCATGTGTACATGCATGCCCGAAATCTGGAGAGGGGAAAGGAGGAGAAGAGATGTGGCATGACCATTCCCACTGAGGGATGCTTTCTCACTTTCTCTCTCTCTCTCGTGAGCACACATGTGCTTGAGCAAGTTTGCATAAATAGATACATAATACATAAATAAATATAATAACGCAATTTTAAAAATGGACACAGCATGCTGACCACACACATCTGGGGCCTGGATCTGCCCATGTGGTTGTTGCTTTTGGGTCTTGGTCTAAAATAGCATCTTTTTGTGTTGCAGATCTCCTACAAATATCTTATTATTGCTCTTGGAATCCAGCTGGACTATGAGAAGGTACTGTTTTACATCGTTTCTATGTTACAATGGCCTACTTATGCCAGGATCAAACACAGCATTTAGTGGCTTTATATTCATTTTGACAAGAAAGAGGTTTGAAGAAATCCTTTTCTCATTTTATTTCTCAGCAATACTTTTGAGGCTTAAAAACATCTTCTCTAAGATTCTCTCAATGATAACAATATGTCCTAACTTTAAGCTTTCATCAGAGTTCAGCACGCCCATGCCCTAATAGTAATTCTTGCAAAATAGCAGCCTTTTTCACACTTTAAGAGATCTGACTTTCTGTGCAAGACTGAGTTGACTGTATTAGAGGTTAAATTATCCTTTGGAAATAAGAGTTAGATCATGAATAGTAGGCCTACTAAGGCTAGAACACTAGCAGTTAGTTCATCAGATGCCAGAAGGACATACTGGTTTTGTGGTGCAGATGCTGGTTTTTTGGTATGACATGACAGTGCAATATAAGTATTACCCTAGAAATTCCTTAGCTCTCCCTTTTCAGTGAGTAGCGGGCCAGATGCTATCCAACAGTAGTGAGATTCAAGTTTATTTTTCTAAAACATAATGGAATAAGTCAGTAATTACTACAATTTCTAAAGGCTTGTTGGGGACTGTGGATATACAATTGGAACACATAAAATATTAGTGTTAACCTGGCCACCAACTGTAGGAATGCAATCTGGGTAAGAGCCTCTTCTGAGTTGGTCTGTTAACAGTCTTTGGCCTGTAATTCTGTATAAAACAAATCCTCTAATCACAATATGTCCAGGGGGAGGGTAGTGACAATGTTTTGGGATGTGTTGTGTGAAGGTTCAGAGAGGCCATGAATCAGTGTGAATGTCGTGAGGTGATTTTGAGTCATGGTGGCATGGATCATGATTCTCAAATAACAACAGATCAACTATGGGAGACTATATGGAGAAAGCAGCCATTACAACTACTTTTGGGAGGTCATGCCTCCCAAGTAAGCCTTTGCAGTGTTGACTTAGCCAAGGTAGTACACCTCCATAGTACTGTCTCCCAACAAAGCGCACTGTCAGCACTGCAGAAGACCACTGAAGAGGCCAGGGCTGAGGGTCTTTAGCAGCCCTCTTGCAGCAAACCAAGGAGCTAACGATACAATCATGAGATGCATACTGGTCAATAGAGGACCGCACATACCATGGTGGTCCTGTAATAAGGAGCATATAACCTATACCATATAGTCTAAGAATGTAGTAGGCAATACCAGTTAGGTTCATGCAGGTGTACTCTATGATATTTACATGATGAACTGGAAATCTCCTAACAGCATTGCTCAGAACATAAACCCATCATTAAGTGACACATGAATGTATTAAAAAGTAGCTATTTTTTTTTTTTTTGTGAGAGATTTTTGCTATAGGGTGCGTGTGCTCACCAGAAAGATAGAGAGAGACAGAGAGACAGAAAGCAAGAAATCACCCCCGCCCCGGGGAGGCGGGGGATGGCCACACCACAATCCCTTCTCTTGGGATCTTGGGCATGCACACACACGTGCCCAGCGTGAGTTTAAGCCACTGGGTCTGGGACTCGAACCACAATCAACTATATTGTGGTTCAGCAACATAGCCATTACGCTAACTTCTGGTCCCGAAGACCAACTGATCTTCATGACTGTTTCCTGGTTGAAGTTGAACTTACTCTTGTTGAAAACCGGTGCTTAAGTCTATTTAACTCAATTTGTGACATTTTCATTGCACTGTATGAACTTTCTAACATTTATGATAAGTATCTAGTTTGCCTTATTAACGGCAATAAACTAACATTTATGGGGCACTTACTGTGTGTGCCAGTCATTTTCCTAATTCCTTCACCTGCACGGTCTCATTTACTGCCAACAGCCCTATGAAGCACCTACTTTTATCCCCATTTTTACAGATGATGAAAATAAGTTTCCCCGACCTCAGTGTTCATCAGGATCACCTTGAGGGCCTGTTAAACAGATGGCTCTGCCTGCCCAGAGTTTCTGACTCAGTAGGTCTAGGGTTGGGCTGGAGAATTCGCATTTTTAGCACGTTCCCAGGTGGTGCAAGTGCTACTGGTGAGAGGACCATACTTTGAGAGCCACTGGCTTAGAAATATTGGATATTTGTTTCAGGGTCACATGCTAGCAAATGAAAAAACTGGGACTCAGCCCAGGTTTGTAAGATTGTAAAATCCATGTTTTAATTACTTGCCTTTACCAAGAGTTTGAGGTGGTACAATCAGCTAGAGGGTCATTTAAGTTGGCTATTATGACAGTATAATGGCTCTCGGTCCTGTCCATTGTTCTTTCTAGTAAGGCAACTGGTTCTCCTAAAAGGAAGTATGGCTGGCTTCCTGCTCTCACTCTTATGGTAGAAGAGTTGTATTCAAATCATTGTCTTCATGTGGGAGAGGCGGAAGGCTAAGCTCAATCTGCAATGTGACAGGTGACTTCAGGTGCCATAGCTCTGGACTTAGAACCCTCATTCATCTGTCTGCTCTGTGTGTGTGAGTATTGGGGGCGGGGTAAACATCATACTAGAATATTTGGAAGAGTGTAGAAATGGCAAAGAACAAGAATCCTAAAGACTGTACTTTTGTTTAAAAATAATTTCTGTGTGCTTCGTTGCAGATTAAAGGCCTACCTGAAGGTTTTGCTCATCCCAAAATAGGGTCCAATTATTCGGTTAAGACTGTAGAGAAGACATGGCAAGCTCTGCAGGACTTTGAGGAGGGCAATGCCATCTTTACCTTCCCAAATACCCCAGTGAAGTGTGCTGGAGCCCCCCAGAAGATCATGTATTTATCAGAAGCCTATTTTAGGAAGGTAAAAATGCGTCTTTTCCAAGGACAGAGATGAGGGGACAGGCAGTGCTCATTTAGTGATTGCTAGAATTCCATTTTTATCCCTATCATAATTCTTCCCTCTCCTCCCCTCCCCTCTCCTCCCCTCCCCTCCCCTTCCCTTCTCTTCCCTTCAGCTTCTTTTTCATTTGCCTTAGGGTGTGTGTACTTGCTAGGGAGGGAAGGAGGGAGGAAGGAAGGGAGAGAGAGAGAGAGAGAGAGAGAGAGAGAGAGATCACCCCTCAGGGAGGATCGCTATGCCACACTCCCTTCTCCTTTCTTCTCTTCTCAGTAGATTTTGGGCATGCATGCACATGTACCTGGTATGCTTTTCAAGTCTCTGGGTCTCAAACCAGGCAGTTGGCCATGTGGGATATAGCTGCCTTAACTACCATGCAACCTAGATAGCCCCTCTTAATACCTTTCTTATTTCTAAATTTTTATTACATATGTACAGTATCATGTATTGGGTTGTCAGGAAAGTCATGACACATTTTTGCATAGAAAAACATAGAAAAATATGTCATGACTTTCCCAATGACCTAATAACTCAGAATACATAGAACAAAGGAGAAAGTCACTCATAATCCATTAACTTTGACAAAGCTGCTGTCATCAACTTGATGTTTACTTTCAGTTTTTCTCTATACACTTAAAACAAACCAGATGGTTATAATCATACTGTACATACAAATGTAGATGTATTACATGTTACTAAGTGATCTTTGTAACATACTTTAAAATATGTGTATAAAAGCCTATTGGAGAGATAAGTTAGAGGTTGTTTAAATATTTTCATACAGACAGTTAAAAATTGTTCATTTTTATACATGATGTTATTCTCAACTGTTTCTATTCAGGCTCAAGGTTATGGGTATTTTCTGACTCTTGATATACTATTTGCAAATTAACAGGCAAAATGCCAATTTTAAAGATGAAGCAATGTTCATGTGGAACTTCTTCAAACCATCATAGAAAGAGACAATTTGGGAAGGGAGGCTTTCTCAGTGTTCTCCAGTCACCGTTTGTGTCAGAGCAGGCATCTGCAGTTCAGGCATATTTGGCACCAAGTTGTGAGGGAAGCTGTGCTTGCCTTTCCTGCCCTTATCTGGGACATGACATTCGGTTTATCCAAGCGTGGATTGACTTGGGACAGTGCAGGCTTCAAGTAGTCTGTGTGTCTCTAAAGGGAAAGATGGGGAGAGGGTGGGAAAGAAGGGACCGAAGACTCGTGTGCTTGGAACCTGCGTCAGGCAAGGCCTTCACCTGTGTTCTATAAATCTCAACACTCTGTGGTAGGATTAGGGGACAGTTCCAGAAATTGTCTCTGATTCTCAGAAGGTTCATTCTGGGTGGTAGGAGTTGGCCTGATCTTTCACATTTTTCACCCATCTAAACTTCTTCAGATGGTGAGATCCAGGCGAGTGAGTTCTGAAAGGAACTGCTGAATAGAGGAGAGAGTAAGGGCCAGCTATTTCTTCTATCGTGAAAATTTCCTGGCATATAACTTTTTTATTCCAAGTCTTGATGGACTGAGAGGATTTCCATTATAGGTGTCATAAGAACTTAGGCATTTGGGAGAATATCAGCTCCTCTGAAACACATGAACACCACCAGGAAGATGGGAACTTTGTTTACTGCTGTTCCTCTGAACCAGAAACAGTACTTAGCCAATGCTAGGATTTTGTTAAATATTATGTGAATGAATACATGAATATATGAATTAGTGATTTGGCTCTATTTTGTCTTTACCTGGGCTTGACTTTCATCTCTAGCCTTCAACTGAACAGTGCCCCCTCAAGGCCAGCTCAGCATGTACTTAGTTGCTATGTCATGGGCAGAACATAAGGAGGTGGTGGGTTGGTTCACCCATCATCCTTCCAGGCTATAGTGATGGAAGAAGTTGCTGAGGTCTCTTCTGGGAGTTTTACTTCTTGTCTTGGTTCACTTGGCTGAAGTAATGCTTTGGTGTTTGTTGATTGTCTTCCTTCTTTTTCTCAGACGGGAAAGCGATCCAAGGCCAATATAATTTTCAACACTTCTCTTGGGGCCATTTTTGGGGTTAAGAAGTATGCGGATGCTCTGCAGGAGATCATCCAGGAGAGGAACCTCACTGTTAACTACAAGCGAAACCTCATCGAAGTCCGAGCTGATAAACAAGAGGCTGTTTTTGAGAATTTGGACAGACCCGGAGAGACCCAAGTGATTTCGGTTAGTGGCAAAGTTAAGCTGCGAGCCTGAGGCATCGTCTGCCGAATCTTGCTGTAGATACGGGGCCCACTGGGGTCCTACTACTCTGCCTGCTATCATCACATGCTGGGGAAGGCTGGTTAAAGTGAGCAACTTAGGGTAGTGACAGGGCAAGAAAGTGGACCAGGGGCCAGCCTATGGCACAGCAAAGCATAATACTCGCGATGCTGTATGTTCATGGGAAGTTCACGTTCTGTCAGCTCCTGGACACTCTGGGCACATGTGTGCCTGTGATCTGGGCTGGCTGAGGCTGGGGGTGGGTCATGGTGTGAGGACCCGATGGAGGCGATGCTCTCTCTCTCAGATGATAACGTGTATGGTAGTATCTTTAATTGGATTAATATACAGTGTACCCATACTGGGAAAATTCATTTTGAATGTGGTAATAATAAGCAGTGACTGAATGTATAAAAATTTACATATACGTGTATGTAATATATACATAGTAAACTTAAAAAAAAAGAAAGGAAAGAAGGTGGATCAAAGTGGGTGGAGAAGAGAAAGAAGACAGAGGCATGTCGGTGGGAGGTGCAGAGGGTTTATCTGCTGGTATCAAGCTAACTTTTGTCCCAGTCCTTTGACCTTGTTCTTCCTGGCACTGAGCCGTAGGAAGCAGTGGAAAATGTTTCACACTTCCAATAATTGCCTAGAGTTAAGGGAGGGCTTCCTCCAAGGCAGGATCTAGCGATTGTTTCCATTTGTGGCATGTGAGAAACAGCCTTGCTTGTGAGTAGGAAGAAGCACTGTGGATCTTTCCAGAATAGCAGGGATGCCTTTCGCCTGTGGAAGAGGCTGTCTTTAAACACCTTTCACCTTTGCATGAAAGGAAACCCTTAAAATCCTTGAAGAATCTGGCAGAGCTACTGCTCTTGGAAAGATCTAGGGCTTGTTGTATGGGTTTGGCCTTCCTGTGTCTCGGTTTCTTTTTCCGTGAAGTGGAAATGGTACTTTGTAGAGGCATTATGGGGATTAGCAAGGAGATGTAAAGGCATCTGGTGAAGCATGCATGGAAGAATATTTGTTTACACCATTCTGGCAAAAGCTGTTGGCAACGAGAAAGGATTACACAGTCACATTTTATTCACTTAGCAGTTTTTGAGCAATGAAGGATATCATAAAAAGGAATTTTGAAGTGAATCAAAGATTAATCTCTTAAACATTGAAACTGTGAATTTTAAGCTTTGTAGCTGAAGCTCTTTCCAAAATGCATTGCACACATCTTGCTTTGCTTTGTTTTTCTCTTTTTTTATTTGTCAGAAGGTGCATGCCTTCACTAGAGAAAGAGAGAGACAAAGACAGAGAGGGAGAGACAGAGAGGGAGAAAGCTTCTACCAGCGGGCTGATCCTTTCTCCTCCATTTCCCTTTTGTGATTTGGGACACACATGCACACAAGCCCAGCTGTTTTTCAGGGTGCCAGAACTGGGATTTGAACTTCAGTTGGCCATGTGGAACCCAGCTTCCTTAGCCATTAGGCCATAGGGCCAGCCCGCCATTACTTGTAAGGAGTCGTTTGTGGGGAGACACTCTAAGACCACAAATATTCTACACATTAAAGTCTCCCTCAGAGTCAGCCCTGATCGATGATTCTTGCCTAATCTAATCTTTATTCTATGTTTGCAGAATGATGATTTCCTAACTGGCACTCCTTCCACATTTACCAGCAGGCTCTTGGCATTCTGTTAGCGAGAGCCTCTTCTCTCTTAATTAATTAATTTTTGGTAAATGTACCATTGAAAGTGATTAGAATGGGTTAGTGCATTTTTACGAAGAGCGAACTTAATATAGCTGTTTTGGAAAACTTCCATCCTGCCGTCTGCTGCTGCTCACTAAACCTAGTACTGCGCCAGACCCCACTCTCTTTCTCTAAAATGCTAATATACTTATCACTCTTTTTCTTCTTTATCTTAATATTTTGACAGTTTCCTCTGAGTGTTTTGAGTGTTGACCCACACCTGGGAATGATGCTCACTGGCCAGCTCCTAACATGGTCTTTACAAGTTTCAGGGACCCTGTGAACATCCTTGCAGAATAAAATGGGAGTATCAGACTATACAAGTTGACAGCCAAGGGTCATAGACGCTGGTGAGAAAGCTACGGGTCGGTAGAAATGTTGAAAACATTTCAAATTTGCATGCTCTTCTTTATGTAGTACGAGATGCTTCACGTCACACCACCAATGAGCCCTCCAGATGTCCTCAAGACAAGTCCCGTGGCCGATGCTGCTGGCTGGGTGGACGTGGATAAAGAAACTCTGCAGCACAAGAGGTACCCGAATGTTTTTGGTATTGGGGACTGCACCAACCTCCCTACATCGAAGACTGCTGCCGCAGTAGGTAAGACACCTGGCTGTTTGTCCTCTCAAACATGTTACCCCCAAGGCATCATCTTAACAAAAACAAAAGTTTGGAACAAACAGTATTCTGTTAATAATGAAAAAAGTTTTGGGAACCAGCAGTTAGCGTAATGGCTATGTCGCTGGACTCCCACGTAGTCGACCGTGGTTCGCATCCCGGACCTGGTGGCTTAAAACTCACGCCGGGTGCGTGTGTGTGCGTGCCCAAGATCCCAAGAGGAGAGAATGGAGGAGAAGGGATTGCGGCGTGACCATCCCCCCTGGGGGGTGATTTCTCGCTTTCTGTCTCTATGTCTCTCTCTGTCTGTCTGGCGAGCACACGCGCCCTATAGTGAAAACTTCTCAAAAATAAAAAAAAGTTTTGTGCCCTCAAAGTGACTTTGATCTCCTTGAGATAGAAGCAAGTTGTCAACGAACCTTGTTATAGAAAGAAGAAAGAAGATTTTGAGTGCTTTGCCCCGGAGTAGGGGACCTTATCTGCCTTTGCTGGGTCACAGGGGTTGTTTTCAGAAGAAGGGGCATTAGAGAGAGGGCATCACTTTTACAGCTCTGTGGAATTCCATTACTTCTCCTGCCATCCTCACAGCCCTGGCATTCTTAGCCCCGATGCCAGGCAGGCTGGCTATTTTATTTTTCTCCTGCCTGAAACACCATCATGCTAGAAAAGTATTTGTTTCCCCAGAAAACACAGGCAAGTCAATGAAAGCTTGCAGACCAGAAAATTGTTCTGTTAAGACAAATACAGTGGAGTGTGCCCTGATTGGTGCACAATTAAGTCCTCAGCCTGGAAAACGAAATTCTTCTCCTCGATGTTCTGCGCTAGCAGTGATGGGGAGAATTGCCTTTTAGTTTCTGTCCTCCACAGACAGGAGCTGTCTTCTCGGGATGGTATACAACACAGACCTCTCTGCTGATGGATGAGGTGGTATTTCGTGTGAATTAGACACCTGCAGAACATGTGCTATTTTTACTGATGATTTCAACCTTCAGGAAAACTTTATAGGAAATTTACCAGAAATGATCATTATTAGCAATAATTTTCTTATGATGTCTTATTTAAAAAAATCAAGCCTATGAAAAAATACTTTCTTTCTTTCTTCTTTCTTTCTTTTTTCTTTTTTCTTTTTTTTTTTGAGAAATGTTTACTATAGGGCATGTGTGCTCACTAGACAGAGACAGAGAGACAGAAAGCGAGAAATCACCCCCCTAGGGGGGATGGTCACTCCGCAATCCATTCCCCTCCATTCTCCTCTCAGGATCTTGGAGACGCACACACTTGCGCCTGGCATGAGTTTAAGCCACCGGGTCTGGGACTCAAACCGCAGTCGACTACATGGAAGTCCAGCGACATAGCCATTATGCTAACTGCTGGTCCCAAGCCTATGAAAAATTTGAAAGTAAAATACTCATATATCCTTTGAATATTAACTGATTTTGTGACATTTGATTCATCACTCTATTTATGTATACTTAATTTTACTGAATCATTTGAAGATAGCTTCAGGTATCATGATACGACCTTAAGTATCTCAACCTGCATTTCCTAAGGATTAGATTTTCTTCCACATCCAAAAGATCATTATCATGCCCAAAAACTTAGCATTGTATAGTAAAATCAGCTCATGTACAATGCAGTTTAACTTCTCAAAATGTCCTTTGTAGCATCCTGCTGCCCCCAGTCCACCAAGGAGGGCACATTGTCTTGATTGCCATTTCCTTTTTTTTCTTTTCTTTTCTTCTCTTTTCTTTTCTTTCCTTTCCTTTCTTTTCTTTTCCTTTCCTTTACTTTCCTTTTTTTAAATTTTTTTTTTTTTTTTATTTAAGAGAGATTTTTGCTATGGGATGTGTGTGCTTGCTGGAGGGACAGAGAGAGACCAAGTGTGAAATCACCCCTCGGTGTGGGGTGGTGGGGTAGTGACCATGCCACATTCTCTTCTCGATTCTCCTCTTGGGATTTTGGGCATACATGCACACGTGCCTAGCATGAGTTTCAAGCCTTTGGGTCTGGCATTTGAACCCTGGTCAGCTATGTTGGAGTCCAGCACCTTAACCACTACACCACCTGCTGACTCATCATATCCCTTTAATCTGTGTGTGTGTGTGTGTGTGTTTTGTTATTGTTTGTTTTTGTTTTGTAAAAAATTTCTGCCAGAGGGCATGTAAATTCACTAGAGGAAAGAGAGAAAGAGAGAGATGTGAGAAAGCTCTTCTCTGGATCTGGGGCATATACATGTACCCAGAGTGTTTCTCAAGCTGTCAGGTCTAGGTCTCCAACCATGTAGTTGGCCATGTGGAATCTAGCTGCCTTAAACACTATGCCATGGACTGGTCCTAATCTGTTTTTTTTTTTTTTTCCCTCCACCTTAATGACATTGACATTTAAACAAAAAGTTTTTTTCTAGGAGGTATGCTTGTTCCTTAGGGAGAGCAAGAGGGAGAAGAAGAAAGCACCTCCCCAGTGGAGCTTGGTCACATTGCAATCCCTTGTTTTCCATGTCTGGGCTGTTGGGGCACACATGTGCCCACTGTGTTTTTCAAGCCACTGGGACATATTTCGCTGTTGATCATATGCAATCTGGGTCCAAATGCATTGTGTTGACCCACTGTACTACCAGACTGGCCCCTGGCATTTTTTGAAGTCTGGGTTAGTTATCTTGTAGACTGCCTCACAGTTAGAATTGTCTAGTTATTTTCCTTGGTTAGATTCAGGTTGTATGTTCTGCTACTGTAGCAGCTCAGGAACCTGTCGTATTAGTTTGTCTTGTCTTTGGAGAAGCTAGATTTCATCACTGGGTTAAGGAGTATCCATTGTTTCCCTTCCATCTGCCTTTACTCACTGTAATTTATAGGTGGTCTGGGGCCATACTGGGAATTTACATTCTTTTAATATTAGCCCGCTGAATAGATGTGGTGAAAATACCTGTGATGTAAGGCCCAGATTACCTACCATTTAGCCTACTTCAAACATTTAATTCAATGTTTCAAGCAGAAAACATTAAATATGATTAAACAAAAGTTAGAATTGCAAAGTCTTGCTTCCAGTCCTACCTCCCACCTGCTCAGCTCCTATGTATCCCCTAACCAGGTGGAGAGTGTCCCCATTGTTAGACAGCTGTTAGTTTACAATCTGTATTCTGTCCCATGGAATACAGACAGAATACCTAATGAGTCCACTTTTCATTTATAGTTGGGTTATTTCCAACTCATTTTTATATTAAACAGTACTGCAGTGAATATCCTTGTTTATGTGTCATTTCACACATGTGAGTCTGTTCTTTTCTTTAATATCTAAATAACAATAGTTTTGGCTTTTTCTAAGTAGACCTGCATTTCTCATCAGATTCCTCTTCCCATGGTCTCTGAGTAAAGCCCCAGACAGTGCTTAACGCTTCGTCCACAGGTCAGTCCGTGGGCTTACTTGCCACTCAGCCTCTGCCAGACCACGGCACTCTTGTAAGTGAGACCTTGTCTTGCCACATGAAAACTGCCTTTCCCGGAGCTCATTCTTCTTTTTCTGCGCCTCTCTTCCCTGGAATTTGTCCTTTATTACTTACAGCACAGCCAAGACCAAGATGTAACATTTAATAAAAGTTCACTGAAGTCTTAGGCATAATAGAAGGGAATTTTATTTTACTTTTTTTTTTTTGGACAGGTTTTCGCTATAGGGCGCGTGCACTTGCCAGACAGACAGAGAGAGAGACATAGAGACAGAAAGCGAGAAATCACCCCCCAGGGGGATGGTCACACTGCAATCCGTTCTCCTCCGTTCTCCTCTCGGGATCTTGGGCATGCATGCACACGCGCCCGGTGTGAGTTTTAAGCCACCGGGTCCGGGACGCGAACCGCGGTCGACTACGGGGGAGTTCAGCGACATAGCCATTACGCTAACTGCTGGTTCCCAACTTTTTTAAAGTTTTTTTTTAAAGGATTACTTTATTTAAATTTATTTATTTATTTATTTATTTATTCATTTAAATTTGATTGGGGGCGGGGAGAGAGAGAGAGAGAAAGAAAAGGAGAGAGGGAAAGTGAGAAAGCAAGCTGCCAGGTCTGGGACTTGAACTGAGGACAGCCATGTGAGAGTCCAGCTCCCTTAACCACCACACCAAAAAAACCCTTATATTCACCTGTATGAATATTTTATTATATTTTCATTTTTATGCTTTTGAGGTTTTATTTATTTCTTCCGAGAGAGGAATAGAGAGAGACAGTAGCCCCAATGTGGATGAGAGAGAGAGATAGCACCCCTCAGGAGAAGGTCATGTCACAATCTCTTTTCCTCTTAAGATTTAGGGTGCACGTGTACATGCACATGCTGGCGCACGTGCGTGCACACACACACACACACACACACACACTGTGTTTTTTGGGTCACTGGCTCTAGGACTTGAACAGTGCAATTGGCTACCTTAACTACCATGACACTAGCTGGCCTGTGCCATTTAATATTTTTAAGTACAGTTGCTTACTTCTCATTTTTTAAACCCCCTCATTATAGTAAAAAGCTCATTGCTTTTTGATTTGGGTCTCAGCACACTACAGTTTGTAGGTTAAAAGTAGCTGCCTGTCTGTTTTTGTACAGCTGGCTAAGAATGGTTCCTACTGATGAGCATTTGCAGTCAATGTGATGATATGGAACACCAGCCCTTGTTTTTAATCCTAAGAAAATCAATTCTATTCTCATTACTGTACTTGTATTGCGGAAACAATTATATTTTGAATTTTAGCAGTAAGATTATGGTGAGAGTTTGTTTTTCCTTTTATTATATAATATTTTTGATGTTTCCTTTTGGCCTACAAGACTTTAAAGTTTTCTTTAGAGAAAATGTTTGTGACACTCAATTTGGGAGACCAATCACAAAATAACCACTTCACTGAGCACTTTACAATATAAAGGAAACCCATCTTTCCTCCAAAGTAAATCCCATGGAACCAGCAGATGGCGTAATGGTTACATTGCTGTACTCCCACATAGTAGACTGCAGTTTGACTCCCAGACCTACCTTAACTACCATGACACTAGCTGGCCTGTGCCATTTAATATTTTTAAGTACAGTTGCTTACTTCTCATTTTTTAAACCCCCTCATTATAGTAAAAAGCTCATTGCTTTTTGATTTGGGTCTCAGCACACTACAGTTTGTAGGTTAAAAGTAGCTGCCTGTCTGTTTTTGTACAGCTGGCTAAGAATGGTTCCTACTGATGAGCATTTGCAGTCAATGTGATGATATGGAACACCAGCCCTTGTTTTTAATCCTAAGAAAATCAATTCTATTCTCATTACTGTACTTGTATTGCGGAAACAATTATATTTTGAATTTTAGCAGTAAGATTATGGTGAGAGTTTGTTTTTCCTTTTATTATATAATATTTTTGATGTTTCCTTTTGGCCTACAAGACTTTAAAGTTTTCTTTAGAGAAAATGTTTGTGACACTCAATTTGGGAGACCAATCACAAAATAACCACTTCACTGAGCACTTTACAATATAAAGGAAACCCATCTTTCCTCCAAAGTAAATCCCATGGAACCAGCAGATGGCGTAATGGTTACATTGCTGTACTCCCACATAGTAGACTGCAGTTTGACTCCCAGACCCGGCAGCTTAAAACTCACATTGGGCATGTGCGTGTGTATGTGCTCCAAATCCAGAGAAGATAATGGAGGAAAGGGAATTAATTACATGGTGGCCATCCTCCCTGGGGGGTGTGAGTGTGTGATTTCTTGAGTTCTGTCTCTTTGATGAGTACATGAGCCCTACAGCAAAAAATCTTCCTTAAAAAAGAAAAAGTTAATCTCATGTTCTACATCTAGAGATACAGACTGTGCACATTTTTAAAAGGACAGTCTTGATTATTTAGAAATGAACACGAACAGGGACTAGTTGATATTAAAAAATTATTGCTTATATTTTTGGGCGTGAAAATGCTATTGTGTTTGTGTTTAAGAAATCTCTCTCTCCAATGAAAAAGAAATTCCCTGTGTATCAGAAATATCACACAGACATGTTTCTGGGTGAACTGATTTGATATCTGCTCCAGAAAAAAACCACTGGCATGTATGATGGAATGGATAAAACAAGAATGACAAACTTTGAATATTTTTATATACAAAAGGCATTCTCCCCACTCTGCCCATTGGATATGCGTGGGGCTACTAATCTAGGGTGTGCATGAACAAGGACACAGGGGTGTCCTGGATGACCGGGGACACAGGTATAGACACATAGACCAAATGGACAGCCACCAACCCCCAGGAAGAGGAGAAGTGGAGCTGGGTGGGACCAGCCTCACAGTCTTGTTGGATAAAACTGGCTTTTTAGTTTGAAACATGGAAGCCTCTGAGTGAGCCTTTGCTGAACTGGAGAGCCCCCTCTGGTAGCATAACTTCAGTTAGTAAGAAGACTCATATTCTAATTATGATAAACAGCAATGGGGAATGAGATCTTCTTAAGTTGTTTATAAGAAAGCTATTTGAAAATGAGCTCTCATGGAAAACCCAGATGTTTTTTGACTTTTCCATTTCTCTTGCAGCTGCCCAGTCAGGAATACTTGACAGAACAATTTCTCTGATAATGAAGAATCAAACCCCAGTGAAGAAGGTTTGTATGCCTTGTAAGAATCACCGTCTCAATGATCATCTTCCACTCTGTGTGGAAGTAGTGTTTTCCTTGACTTTTGCCACTTTCTTAATTGGTGTCTCCAATATGGGAATTTTAATTTTTGTTTTTTTGTACTATTTTTTGTTATGTAATTTACATTTTTCACAATACAAAAAATTAGAATAAATATAAAAAAGAATGTTTTCAGCCACTGAACAGATACATTCCTAAGTGTCTCTATAATACTAACCCAGTCTTATTTACAATTTTTTAGTATGATGGCTACACATCATGTCCACTGGTGACTGGTTATAATCGTGTGATTCTTGCGGAGTTTGACTACCAAGCTCAACCGCTGGAAACCTTTCCCTTTGATCAGAGCAAAGAGCGACTTTCCATGTACCTCATGAAGGCCGACCTGATGCCTTTCCTGTACTGGAATATGATGCTAAGGTAAGTGCACTGCATGGTTCTTGAGTGAGGAAAGGGATTTGTAGCACATCTACCACCCACAGGGGGTGCAGCCTCTTCTTTTCAGACCAAGCCTTCTGTCTTCTATGCTATCTTAATCTGTTTTCTATGGTTATAACTGAAGACCACAGATTGAGTACTTTATAAACCATAGAAGTTTATTAGCTACAGTTTTGGAAGCTGGGAAGTCCAAAGTTAAAGGGCCAGGACATAGTGAGGGCCCATTGCTGCATCATAACATGGTTTAACGGTATCACACAGTGAACAAAGCAAGTGTATGTGAGAGAGAGCAAGAGGATGCTCTTGTAAAAACTCACTCTCAAGGTGACAATTGGTCCATTAACTTATGAGTGGATTAATTCATTTGTGAGGGCAGAACTCTTTGACCTAATCACTTCTTAGTTGACTCCACCTCTTAATACTGTTAAAATGGCAGTTAAGTTTCAACAGAAGCTTTGGTGGGGACCTTCAACTCTGAGCACATACTCTGGCCTTCTTCTGCTGATGGATGAATAATAACAATAGTAGAAATAAGTCACTGTCACATGTCACGCACCCTCTCATTTGATACCTTACTTTTGTTTTTATTATGTTATAGGAAAAATAAAAGCATGGTGATTACAAGCATAGACTTTGGAGTCTGGCTTGTATTTGAGCCATGCTTCTGTCATTGACTAGCTCTTTCTTAGGGCAAGTTGCCTAAACTCTCTGTACTTAAGTTTCTGCAAAATGAAAGTAACATTGCCTACCTCACAGATGGTTTAAGGGTATCACACAGTGAACAAAGCAAGTGTATGTGAGAGAGAGCAAGAGGCAAGAGCACGTGCACCCAAAATCTTAAGAGGAAAAGAGATTGTGACATGGCCTCCTCCTGGGGGGTGCTATCTCTCTCAGATGGAGATGAATGAGATAACAAGGAGACACAGCTGTAGAGCAGGCATTTGATAGGTAAATAGAGTAATAGAAATGAATAATTCCTCTTCTTCCAAAAAAAATGATGAAGTTAGCGGACCTTTCTAAACCCATGCAAGATAGGTAAGTCAGGATATCTACACTAGCAGTCTTCTACCAAGAGCAATTTTGCCCTTCAGTGGACATTTGGCAATATTTGGAGATAGTTTTTATTGTCACAGCTGGAAGGGTACTACTGGTATGTAGTGAGCAGAGACCAGGGTAAATACTAAACTGCTACAGTGCACAGGAAGCACCTCCACCACAAAGAACTATACAAAATGTCAATAGAACTGAGGTTGAAAAGTCTTGACCTAAAATTATTTTATGAACAAATAGGGCCAGCAGGTGGCATGGTGGTTAGGGTGCTGGACTCCCACATGGTCAACCATGGTTTGAGTCCCAGACCTGGCAGGTTGAAAATCACACCGGATACATATGTGTGCATGCCTAAAACTCTAGGAGGAGAATGGAGGAGAAGAGATTGTGGCATGGCCATTTCCCCTGACAGGTGATTTCTCACTTTCCTTCTCACTATCTTGCTGTTGAGTGCACATGCCCTATGATAAAAACTGTAAAAAAAGTTTTTGTTTTTTTTTTTTATGACCAAAGACAAGCAATTTTCTTGTAGTAGAGGCTTTATACAGGTTTGCTGAATGGAGTGGGCATGTCGAGGCTTATACAGCAAAACAGCCTCAAAGCTGGACCCAGAGCAGTTGTCCCCTAACAGTCATGGATTCTTTCTAGCTCACGAGACGAATCTTGCTTATGTGCTGATCAGCGTGCTCTTTGAGCAGCTTGTTTCAACACCCTGCTGGCTGAAGTCACCCCACCCCTTTCTCTTTTGTTGTCGATAAAAGTTTTTTCTGTGTTATTTTTTCAGGGGTTACTGGGGAGGCCCAGCCTTTCTGCGGAAGTTGTTTCACCTGGGTATGAGTTAAGGATGACTCAGCCCTTGTTCACTTCAGATAGCTTCTGGACCAAAACTGCAGTCACCAATTGACCAGGAGCAGCGCACGGGACTTGGAATCCAACCCTGTGAAGAGTTTCTTGCTGGAGAATGGTGACCAAATGCCTCCCTTTTCAGTACTTTTGAATAGCCACCATGGGCTTGATTCTTTGGAAACATGCAAATGAAAGAACAGACTACTATTTTCTAAATAAAAATTTGTCACTGATTGAATTCTATGAAAACATTTTCTCTTGATTGGTAGCAACTAGGAATTACAACACTTGGGAGGAAAAGCTGGTTGTAGTGGGATAGTTAACTTGCTATTACAGTGAGCAGTCACAACTCCTAACTAGCATACTTTCACAGAACCTGTTTGGATTCACAGAAAAGTGTCACTCCAGGGATAATATTGTTTCAAGCACAGTGTGCTTAGAACACGTGCTGCTTCGAACTCCCGCTGCAGGAGGCTATGCAGTGGGCTATGATAAGTCCGGCTGTGACTCGGCCATCCTGTCTGGGCTAAGGCCATACTTTCTCCCAGTGAATGACTGAACATAGTGGGTGCTAGTGCTGCCCCATTCCTTGGGATCAACTCGGCTGAAACCTTCTTAGAACGAAGTCTAAGGTTCTCCTTCCCAATTCTCCTCCCTTCTCCCTCTGTTCTCACAGTTGTCCAACCTGCATTGTGGCTGGAAGGCCCACCCTGCTTTCTCCTGTCCTTTCTCCTTTCTCTTTCACTGGCATTTCTCCCTCCAAATTGCTTGCAAATTTCTTTATTTTTTCTCCTTTCTTTCTCTCTCTCTTTCTCTCTCTTTCTTTCTTTCTTTCTTTCTTTCTTTCTTTCTTTCTTTCTTTCTTTCTTTCTTTCTCTTTCTTTCTTCTTTCTTTCTTTCTTTCTTTCTTTCTTTCTTTCTTTCTTTCTTTCTTTCTTCATGCCTTCATTCATTCATTCATGCATTTATCTATTTGTTTGTTTATTCATTAATTTTCAGTCAATGTGTGGGGAGGTCTCACATTTATTCTGGGTGGTGAAAGGCAAACCTGGGTGCCTCAAGGTTCTTTTCCTGGGTGTGGGCCTTTCCTTGGAAGAGGAGGAATGCTGTAGAAATGCCATGCTCCACATGTGGGGTTCTTTGAGCTCTTCTCCACTGCAGATCTATTTCTTATGGCATCTATTTCTCAGAGAACTTACAGTGAGATTGGGGTTTGAGGAATCCTGATAGGTGTGACCAGTTTTTGTTCGACTCAGTCATAATTTTGGCTAAAAACGTTTTGATTGGAAGTTCAGCAGTGGCTTCAGAATAACTTGTTCTCAATCAGTTCACTGCAGAAGTTTGCAGCTTCAGTTCAATCTGGCATTTGACAGCTGTGTACATTTCATATTCATAAACTCCCTCGAAGAAAAAAGCATAGCAGTCTGTGTGGTCCCTCAGATTTTTATATAACAGCTTAGAGTCCAAACTTTCTCATGTGTTACAAGGACTGCCAAATCTCCCTGGTTTCCTGGAGTTCTCCCAGTGACTTCGGAAACTCTGTTCAGGCATTGGTTCACTCGCTCATTCATTTGGTAGATATTTACTGAGCATGTAGTAACCACTGAGCATTTGGCCCAGAGGGACAGAGTAGTGAACAAGGCAGATGAGGGTTTTGCCTATATGTGGTGGCTCCTGTAACAGTTGCCTCCATTCTTCTTGAGTTTCCAGAGAGCTTGTTTTGAGAACTTGGGTCAGTTTGGGAAGTAGATTTTCTTCAGGAGCACACAGTCTGAGAGAGGACAGGGTATTGGCCTAGCAGCTGGCCCCTATCCTGGCAAGGGGGTGCAAGATTTTTCCCAGGTGACCACACATTCTGGTTTACCCGGATTATTCCTGTATAAACTGGCATGACTTATGTCTCCAAAGTGTCCCAGTTAGGACAATAGATTGTGACCAGTCTGATGGTCACATTCCTCCCTCTCACCCCCTCTCCAGGCCTGGGATAGGAGAGCAGTGCTATGAACGGCGCTAACGCAGGACT